CTCCTCTGCCCTTCCTTGCCCTCTCCTGCTATCCTCTGCCGACCCTTGTTCTCTTCTTTCCCCGTCTGCCCTCCCTTGCCCTTCCCTCCTCTCCTCTGCTCTACCCTCTCCTCTACTGCCAGCTCTTGTCCTCCCTTCCCCTATCCTGGTATCCTCTGCCGTGCCTTGCTCTCCCTTGCTCTCTCCTGCCATTCCTTGCTCTCCCTTGCCCTCTCCTGCCGTCCCTTGCTCTCTCTTGCCCTCTCTTGCCCTCCTCTGCCCTCCCTTGCATTCCCTTCCCTCCCTTGCCCTACTCTGCCCACCCTTGCCCTCCCTTTCCCTCCCCTGCTCTCCTCTGCCCTCCCTTGCCCTCTGCTGCCCTCTCTGCCGTCCCTTGCTCTCCTCTGCCCTCCCTGTACAACGCTAGTGGGAATCTTGCCTACGATGGACATAGAATTGGGGCCTGGCAGGGCAGTGTCCTGGCGTGGGGTCATGTGGTGTAGCATGGAGATTTGTGAGGCTGGGCTGTGTATGGTAACACCAACCCCGTGAACAGTGGTAAGCATACCATATCTATCATATCACGTTACATGTACGTGTTGCATAGCAGTTCAATGAACTGCACCCTCTGGGTGTGATGGTAGCCGCGCCGCACATCCGCCTGTTCACCGTCACACCCTCTGGGCGCGATGGTAGCCGCACCGCACATCCGCCTGTTCACCGTCGCGCCCTCTGGGCGCGATGGTAGCCGCGCCACACATCCGCCTGTTCACCGTCGCGCCCTATGGGTGCGATGGTAGCCGCACCGCACATCCGCCTGTTCACCGTCGCACCCTCTGGGCGCGATGGTAGCCGCGCTGCACATCCGCCTGTTCACCATCACACCCTCTGGGCGCGATGGTAGCTGCGCCGCACATCCGCCTGTTCACCGTCGCACCCTCTGGGTGCGATGGTAGCCACGCCGCACATCCACCTGTTCACCATCGCACCCTATGGGTGCGATGGTAGCCACGCCGCACATCCACCTGTTCACCGTCGCACCCTCTGGGTGCGATGGTAGCCACGCCGCACATCCACCTGTTCACCATCGCACCCTATGGGTGCGATGGTAGCCCTGCCACACATCCGCCTGTTCACCATCGCACCCTATGGGTGCGATGGTAGCCGTGCCGCACATCCGCCTGTTCACCATGACACCCTCTGGGTACGATGGTAGCCGCACCGCACATCCGCCTGTTCACCATTGCACCCTCTGGGTGTGATGGTAGCCACGCCGCACATCCACCTGTTCACCATCGCGCCCTATGGGTGCGATGGTAGCCGCGCCGCACATCCGCCTGTTCACCATCGCACCCTCTGGGCGCGATGGTAGCCGCACTGCACATCCGCCTGTTCACCGTCGCACCCTATGGGTGCGATGGTAGCCCTGCCGCACATCCGCCTGTTCACCATCGCACCCTATGGGTGCGATGGTAGCCGTGCCGCACATCCGCCTGTTCACCATGACACCCTCTGGGTACGATGGTAGCCGCACCGCACATCCGCCTGTTCACCATCGCACCCTATGGGCATGATGGTAGCCGCGCCGCACATCCGCCTGTTCACTGTTGCGCCCTCTGGGCATGATGGTAGCCGTGCCACACATCCGCCTGTTCACCATCGCGCCCTCTGGGCGCGATGGTAGCCGCGCCGCACATCCGCCTGTTCACCATCGCACCCTCTGGGTGCGATGGTAGCCGCGCCACACATCCGCCTGTTCACCATCGCACCCTATGGGTGCGATGGTAGCCGCGCCGCACATCCGCCTGTTCACCGTCGGAACCTCTGGGCGCGATGGTAGCCGCACCGCACATCCGCCTGTTCACCGTCGCACCATATGGGTGCCATGGTAGCCCTGCCGCACATCCGCCTGTTCACCATCGCACCCTATGGGTGCGATGGTAGCCGTGCCGCACATCCGCCTGTTCACCATGACACCCTCTGGGTACGATGGTAGCCGCACCGCACATCCGCCTGTTCACCATCGCACCCTATGGGCATGATGGTAGCCGCGCCGCACATCCGCCTGTTCACTGTTGCGCCCTCTGGGCGTGATGGTAGCCGTGCCACACATCCGCCTGTTCACCATCGCGCCCTCTGGGCGCGATGGTAGCTGTGCCGCACATCCGCCTGTTCACCGTCGCACCCTCTGGGCGCGATGGTAGCCGTGCTGCACATCCGCCTGTTCACCGACGCGCCCTCTGGGCACGATGGTAGCCGCGCCGCACATCCGCCTGTTCACTGTCGCACCCTATGGGTGCGATGGTAGCCGCACCACACATCCGCCTGTTCACTGTCGCACCCTATGGGTGCAATGGTAGCCGCACTGCACATCCGCCTGTTCACCCTCACACCCTCTGGGTGTGATGGTAGCCGTGCCGCACATCCACCTGTTCACTGTTGCACCCTCTGGGCACGATGGTAGCCGCGCCCCACATCCACCTGTTTACCGTCGCACCCTTTGGGCGCGATGGTAGCCACACTGCACATCCGCCTGTTCACCATTGCACCCTATGGGTGCGATGGTAGCCACACCGCACATCCACCTGTTCACCATCGCGCCCTATGGGCGTGATGGTAGCAGCGCCGCACATCCGCCTGTTCACCATTGCACCCTATGGGTGCGATGGTAGCCGTGCCGCACATCCGCCTGTTCACCATGACACCCTCTGGGTACGATGGTAGCCACACCGCACATCCGCCTGTTCACCATTGCACCCTCTGGGTGTGATGGTAGCCGTGCCGCACATCCACCTGTTCACTGTTGCACCCTCTGGGCACGATGGTAGCCGCGCCGCACATCCGCCTGTTCACCGTCGCACCCTTTGGGCGCGATGGTAGCCGCACTGCACATCCGCCTGTTCACCATTGCACCCTATGGGTGCGATGGTAGCCACGCCGCACATCCACCTGTTCACCATCGCGCCCTATGGGCGCGATGGTAGCAGCGCCGCACATCCGCCTGTTCACCATTGCACCCTATGGGTGCGATGGTAGCCGCGCCGCACATCCGCCTGTTCACCATGCACCCTCTGGGCGCGATGGTAGCCACACCGCACATCCGCCTGTTCACCATTGCACCCTCTGGGTGTGATGGTAGCCGTGCCGCACATCCACCTGTTCACTGTTGCACCCTCTGGGCGCGATGGTAGCCGCACCGCACATCCGCCTGTTCACCGTCGCACCCTTTGGGCGCGATGGTAGCCGCGCCACACATCCGCCTGTTCACCATTGCGCCCTATGGGTGCGATGGTAGCCACGCCGCACATCCGCCTGTTCACCATCGCGCCCTATGGGCGCGATGGTAGCAGCACTGCACATCCGCCTGTTCACCGTTGCACCCTATGGGCGCGATGGTAGCCGCGCCGCACATCCGCCTGTTCACCATCGCACCCTCTGGGCGCGATGGTAGCCGCGCCGCACATCCGCCTGTTCACCGTCGCACCCTATGGGTGCGATGGTAGCCGCACCACACATCCGCCTGTTCACCGTCGCACCCTATGGGTGCGATGGTAGCCGCACCGCACATCCGCCTGTTCACCATCGCGCCCTATGGGTGCGATGGTAGCCGCGCCGCACATCCACCTGTTCACCATCGCGCCCTATGGGTGCGATGGTAGCCGCGCCGCACATCCGCCTGTTCACCATCACACCCTATGGGTGCGATGGTAGCCGCACCGCACATCCACCTGTTCACCATCACGCCCTCTGGGTGCGATGGTAGCCACGCCGCACATCCGCCTGATAACCATCGCGCCCTCTGGGTGCGATGGTAGCCGTGCCGCACATCCACCTGTTCACTATTGCGCCCTATGGGCACGATGGTAGCCGCGCCGCACATCCACCTGTTCACCGTCGCACCCTCTGGGCGCTATGGTAGCCACACCGCACATCCGCCTGTTCACCATCGCACCCTCTGGGTGCGATGGTAGCCGCGCCGCACATCCGTCTGTTCACCATCGCGCCCTATGGGTGCGATGGTAGCCGTGCCGCACATCCGCCTGTTCACCATCACGCCCTCTGGGCGCGATGGTAGCCGCACCGCACATCCGCCTGTTCACCATCGCACCCTATGGGTGCGATGGTAGCCGCGCCGCACATCCACCTGTTCACCATCGCGCCCTCTGGGTGCGATGGTAGCCGCACCGCACATCCGCCTGTTCACCATCGCGCCCTCTGGGTGCGATGGTAGCCGTGCCGCACATCCACCTGTTCACCATCGCACCCTATGGGTGCGATGGTAGCCGCGCCGCACATCCGCCTGTTCACCATCGCACCCTATGGGTGCGATGGTAGCCACACCGCACATCCGCCTGTTCACCATCGCACCCTCTGGGTGCGATGGTAGCCGCGCCGCACATCCGTCTGTTCACCATCGCGCCCTATGGGTGCGATGGTAGCCGTGCCGCACATCCGCCTGTTCACCATCACACCCTCTGGGCGCGATGGTAGCCGCACCGCACATCCGCCTGTTCACCATCGCACCCTATGGGTGTGATGGTAGCCGCGCCGCACATCCGCCTGTTCACCGTCGCGCCCTCTGGGTGCGATGGTAGCCGCACCGCACATCCGCCTGTTCACCTTCACGCCCTCTGGGTGCGATGGTAGCCACGCCGCACATCCACCTGTTCACCATCGCACCCTATGGGTGCGATGGTAGCCCTGCCGCACATCCGCCTGTTCACCATCGCACCCTATGGGTGCGATGGTAGCCGTGCCACACATCCGCCTGTTCACCATGCACCCTCTGGGTACGATGGTAGCCGCGCCGCACATCCGTCTGTTCACCATCGCGCCCTATGGGTGCGATGGTAGCCGCGCTGCACATCCGCCTGTTCACCATCGCACCCTCTGGGCGCGATGGTAGCCGCACCGCACATCCGCCTGTTCACCATCGCGCCCTATGGGTGCGATGGTAGCCGCGCCGCACATCCGCCTGTTCACCGTCGCACCCTATGGGTGCGATGGTAGCCACACCGCACATCCGCCTGTTCACCATCGCGCCCTCTGGGCGCGATGGTAGCCGCACCACACATCCGCCTGTTCACCGTCGCACCCTATGGGTGCGATGGTAGCCGCACCACACATCCGCCTGTTCACTGTCGCACCCTATGGGTGCGATGGTAGCCGCACCGCACATCCGCCTGTTCACCATCACGCCCTATGGGCGCGATGGTAGCCGCACCGCACATCCGCCTGTTCACCATCGCACCCTATGGGTGCGATGGTAGCCGCACCGCACATCCGCCTGTTCACCGTCGCACCCTATGGGTGCGATGGTAGCCGCGCCGCACATCCGCCTGTTCACCGTCGCGCCCTATGGGTGCGATGGTAGCCGCGCCGCACATCCGCCTGTTCACCGTCGCACCCTATGGGTGCGATGGTAGCCACACCGCACATCCGCCTGTTCACCATCGCGCCCTATGGGCGCGATGGTAGCCGCACCACACATCCGCCTGTTCACCGTCGCGCCCTATGGGTGCGATGGTAGCCGCGCTGCACATCCGCCTGTTCACCGTCGCACCCTATGGGTGCGATGGTAGCCGCACCGCACATCCGCCTGTTCACCATCGCACCCTATGGGTGCGATGGTAGCCGCACCGCACATCCGCCTGTTCACCGTCGCGCCCTATGGGTGCGATGGTAGCCGCACCGCACATCCGCCTGTTCACCATCGCACCCTATGGGCGCGATGGTAGCCGCGCCGCACATCCGCCTGTTCACCGTCGCACCCTATGGGTGCGATGGTAGCCGCGCCGCACATCCGCCTGTTCACCATCGCGCCCTATGGGCGCGATGGTAGCCGCGCCGCACATCCGCCTGTTCACCATCGCACCCTATGGGTGCGATGGTAGCCGCACCGCACATCCGCCTGTTCACCATCGCGCCCTATGGGCGCGATGGTAGCCGCGCCGCACATCCGCCTGTTC